CGGCGAGAAAAATAAATAAATTTTGCTGTGGTCTGGGTTCGATTTTGTTTTCCCTATCGATCGATTCCCCAATCTTCCGATTAGCACAATGTCGGGTTCGGGAGGAGTTTCAATCGCACGCACAGCGATCCGAGGAGAGAATCGGTTCTACAATCCACCTCCGATGCGGCGGATGCAGCAAGAGGCGCAATTGCAGCAGCAGATTAGGGAGAAGCAACGGCGGGAAGAAGAGGAGACCGTCTTGGACAAGGAGCGGAGAGCGGCTTCAAATGCCGCCATGCCTCCGCCTCGGTCACGGAAAGGGCACGGCGTTGTTGGTCCGACGGAAACTAAGAATCGGGTCGTTTCCGGGTCGGAAGTATGCGGGTCTTCTGTCTCTTCCGGGTCGGGTCGGGTGCAGAGTGATGGGTCTAACTTGGATCGGTTCCTGGAGCACACCACTCCCGTTGTTCCTGCCCGGTTTCTTCCTATGGTAAGACCATTTCATATCTTTTTTTTTTTCTGGTGGAAATGTTGGAAATGCCATTTGTGTCTGCTTGGAATCGTAGACTATCCTGTATTGAGTTCACTAATTGTTGATCTATTGAATTTAGTGAGACTATTGGTCATACCTGGAGTTGAATTGGGAAGACTTGAGATTATCATGTGATTCAGTGTATAACTCAGTGCAAGATTTGTGTATTTTTTTTTCTGGTAAGCATTGCTTATGGGCTGCAATTCGTTTTCCAGAAGAGCAGAGGAGCAGAGTGCTATACATATTTTATTCTGGAAGATCTGTGGGAGTCATTTGCAGAATGGAGTGCATATGGTGCTGGTGTTCCTCTACAAATGCATGGGAGCGACTCCACCGTGCAGTATTATGTGCCTTACTTATCCGGCATTCAGTTGTATCTAGACCAGTCTAAGACGCCCAGGTTTGTTGTTTAAATTGTCTCGGTTTACTGCAGGAAAGATGTTCTCGTTGTATCAGCCAACAAAGAACTGTTCTGTTTGTCTATTTCACAGTTTCGATTATTGCCTTTTCAAGCAGAAATCCAGTTGAAGATATTGAAGGAAGTAGTGAACGAAGCAGCATCAGTAGGCTCGAAAAGCTACCTAATCATGCTAAGAATCTGCAGAATGAAGTGGAAATGAGTGTCTGCGAACTGAATAGAATTAGTCTGAAAGATCAATCCCTTGCTGGTTCACTGTCAAGTGGAGAGACTGAGATCAGGAATCCTCAGGGACGATTACTCTTTGAGTACTTGGAGTATGAACCTCCGTTTGGCCGTGAACCTCTGGCTAACAAAGTATAATGCCCTCCTAAGCAGATAGAGCTCTTTTTGGTTTACTTTCTTTATCTCTTACTAAGTTTGTATACACCAGGTTTTGGATCTTGCGTCAAGATTTCCTGAGCTAATGACATACCGAAGCTGTGATCTTTCTCCTTCAAGTTGGGTCTCTGTGTCATGGTATGTTTCTGATTAAACCTCTCTTGAGTCTTGAGGTCATTTCTTTTGTAATAAATATGGATGGACCTGTAATGGTGTTCTTTTAATCCGTTGGTGTGTAGGTATCCAATATACAGAATACCGGTTGGTGCAACACTACAAAATCTCGATGCTTGCTTTCTAACCTTCCACTCGCTCTCAACACCACCTCCTCAAAGTAAGTAACATATTCTTTCTATTTTAACACGATTACTTCCTTTTGTCCTGATTGTCACATCCCCGGGTGATCTCTTACACAATGTTGTATATATGTTGGAGCAGGTGCTATGGGTCATAGTGATTCAGATCCATCCACAAAGCTACCATTGCCTACTTTTGGACTAGCATCTTATAAGCTCAAAGTATCTGTTTGGAACCCAAACAGAGCTGAAGAGTGTCAAAAGATCACTTCTTTGCTACAAGCTGCAGACAAATGGCTTAAGTGTCTGCAAGTCGATCATCCGGACTACAGATTCTTCACCTCCAACAGCCCACAAATGAGGTAAGATGAAGATACCTTCTTCACCATCAAGCTGGCTCTGGTCTGATCAAAAGACCCATTATCTGCTACAGTGCAATTCTACGTCACATATAAAGTCTCTCTTACACCATATAGTGGCCAGACTCTTGCGTGTTTTTCAGGCGATTTAAGAGTCTCTGCGGTTTTCATTTCCAGAAGATGTTGTGAATTGTAGCCAAATCTTCACTTTTCTTCTACTGAAACTAGTTTTTTGTATTCCCTGAATAAGGATTGGAAGTGATGAGATATTGTGAAATTTGCGAGTGCTCTTGTAATGTTTGGAGGCAACACTTTTTGTGATAGAATTTGATTGCTGAACTGAAACACATCTTGGATATATTAATCTCTTTCAACAGGTTTTAATAATGAAAGGTTATAAGCTTTGACTAATTTTGTGTTGAGTTGAGGAAAACAGTAATTTAATTTCCTGATTATGGACATAAGGTTTACTCAAGTTTTCCTCAAGTTCATTCTGATTACAATATTTACTCTTCATGCGCTTGAAAGAGCAGAACTTGTCTTCAAGCATGGTTGACCAAAGCAAACCTTTCACAAACTTGCTCTTTCTCACCATCTCTTGAGCATCATTTGAAAGTGCTACTTGTCGTATCTCGCTGTTAGAAGCATCTCCAATCCAACACCAAATCTCATTTTTGTGTAAAATCATCTCCAACCCAACACCATTTTCAACACCAAAATGGTGTAAACTTATTTTTTTACATCAAATATGGGGTAAAAAATGGATTTACACCATTTTTATGTTGAACTTTTTTATTTATAAAAAACTCCTTCAAATTTTTAATCAATTTTAAAATTAATGAAAAATATATACAAATTGTGATGGTTAAACCCAAAATATAATATGTTTGATGATAATTAAACAAAATTTTAATATATTATGTAATTTTATATGTTGCAATGTATTTTTTATATAATACATGTTAAATTTAAATTATTTCTTAATTTTTTAAACCTTAAAAAAATAAAAGGGGTTAATTCGTAAATTTTAAAGAATTGAGAAATAGAATATACTCAGATTCAAAATATTTTTTTTGTGTAAAAAATGGTGTAATACATTGGAGGAAAACTCAACACCATTTGAGTGTTATACCATTTTGATACAAAAAGAAAATAGTGTGAAACATTGGAAATGTTCTTAAGAAATGAGGAAAACAGGGGACAATGTGAAAATAAACCGAAGCGATGCATTTCTTCTGGAGTACGACCTTGTAGGGGTGTCCTTAGGTGAAACTTTTGTTACCAAGTCTCCTTCAGTGATGGGTATTGCAGATTCACTAGCTGAACGAGCATTGGAAACAAAGGATCAGAACCTATATTGGATGAGGGGATGAGAGTGGAAGATCCTCCAAGAGGATGTAAGTTTGCTTCTCGAAGCTCTTTTTTAAGCGTAAGATAGGCAGAGCTATCTCGAAGCTCTTTGTTAAGGGAATGAGAGTGGAAGATCCTCCACCTCTACTCATCTTCCTCCTTGGCTGAACGTAAAACCTCTCACATCAAGGATACCAAAAACACTCTTCCAACTTTCACACGTGTGTTGTACCGCATAAAAGTTTTCACTTTCACACGTGTGACTTTTGTTTTGTGGTCGTATGATTTTCGTATTTTCTTTTTCCGCCGTATTTTTCACCCAAGTTGTGTTCGGACTAAATGCTAAAATCGTTTTTTTTATCCAAGTATGAATGAATGTTAGTATTTTATATTATTTTGTATTTGTTTTTTGAAAAGTAAATACAATGTAATATATTCGTGTTTTTCTGATTAACCGTGGGTTGGTTTATAATCTCTTCCGTACTCTAGTCAACCTTTAGATATTCTGATTCAAATAATAACCCTCCGCAATAAAGAGGGTTTGAACCCATGACATAAGAGAACCAACTCTCTTGTATTACCACTACACCAACACGCATTTGATATATAATATATTCGTTAAATTTTCAAAATATGATGAATATAAAATTTTACCGCGAAGACATGAGATATTTGATCTATATCATACGAGTTAATGGATTGCGGCTTCTGGTGATGCCTTTGTTGTAAAAAATCTTGAATTTTGCTCATTCCATAGTAGGTACATGGTCGATTGCTAAAAAAACATTTGGATGTGCTTTTGGTATAATTTTTAATTACAATGGCTAGATACTCGCCATTGTAACAAAGATCTAGAGGATACGTGGGCCAAGATCTGCGCAGTGATTGGTTGAACGTCAACAAAAGAATATAAAAGCAATGATCGTTCTAAGGAGGGACCATCTTTAGCGTAATAGAAAACTATGAATTTACTATAAAACACATCTCACTCGAGATCATTTTGTACTATTTTAGTAAATCAATCAAATCTAAACCGTTAATTCATTTTTCATTGTTTATCAGATTCATATAGATTATTTAAACCAAATATTTTCTCATTAACACAAATTTGTGAGTGTGGAAATCCCTTTCCACAAGTACCAAAAATCACTATCCAAATGAGTAATTTAAAGCTAGGAAGTGAATAAAAATCTGATAAAAATAATACAGATAGGTACTACCTGAACATGAAATGTGAAGTGATTTGACGACTAAAACAACACATTAAATAAAGCAAAATACTCGAAACACAGATGTGGCATTGTTCCCTCGCACACCTTCACAACACCCTCCGAATCACCTCTTGGGGGCATTATAGTTGTGCTGATATCCACAAATTTAAATGCTCGATAGGGCTACAAACTTACAAGTACAGAAAAGTTACATATACACATGCGTCTTCCAAAGATCACATACACAAACGTCCCTCAAAGATTACAAGTACACCAACTCGTTTTATGAAGTTACAAGTGCACCAACACGCCAACAAGAGATGTTTAGTGCACTTCCTCCGAAGACGCATTTCACATGTTGGCTTCTCCCTCGAGGAATCCCTTACAACGTACTCTGGAGGCGTGTTCCGTTGATTACCTTACTAATTTTATCTTCAGGAGATATACATAGTTATCAAATTTGAATATATCCCAAAATTTTTAACTTAAACTAGATTCTCACCCGCACTATGTGCGGGAATATTCGTTGTATATAATGTAAACTAAACTTGACTTTCTTATTGTATTGGAATATTAATATCAACATAACAATTTTGAATTAGGGGTTTAGCCAAGGAGTGTCAAAACGGGTAACTCGACCCGACCCAAACCCACATGAGTTT